TGTTGTGTGGAAAAATTGCCGCAGTTGTTATTGTTGGCATAATTTAGGAAGTGATTATATTTGAGATCATCGGATGGGGAACCGAATTCCGATGACTCACGTATGGGCGCTAATTGCAGTTGTGCAGCTGCAGCTAACATCTCACCTGTAGGTAAACCCGAAGGACTGGGTCGCTCACTACTAGCTACGTCCTCGAAAGCCTCCTCGTTAAGGGTTTGCAGTGCGCCACAAATCATTTGTTCTTCGAGCGTGACCTGTAAATTAAATAAAAAAAAAATCAAGTGAAAATAAAGGACATCGCAGGGAGAAGGTGGATGAAAGAATGTATTATCAACACAAACGAATACCAACTTTTTATTCTACATATGTATGTACATACTCATACAAATACAAACATAACCAACTGCGAAAAAATTAAATTTTATCCACCTGCATATGCATATGTATGAATGTACATATGTATGAGACCGCTTCTGAGAAAAGGGTGTTATCGACCAAAATACTAACATTTGGTGCATCACGGTTTCTTATGTATATCAAGGTCTTAAAAATGCATGGCGATTAGCCCCGAGTGAAAAAAAAAATTGTTGGCCAATAACACCCTTTTCACAGACGCGATAATATATAGTATGTATGTATGTAGCAGTGATGGAAAAGTAGGTACAATTGCCCTTTTCTCACAGCCCTTTTTTTGTTTTTTGAAAGCACGTTCTGCACAAATACCCAATATTTTTAATATTTTTAAATTTATTTTTCCATCCCTGATATGTACATATCGTCCCGTTAACTCAGAAATTGGACGATATGTAATTTTTGGCATAACGCTCGTTTGCTGGTAGAACGTCATAATTCATTTTTTTTTTAGTCGTCTAATCGATTTCTGTTAATTGTGTCTCTTAAGAAGGAAATTGGTTTCCTTGTAATTTTACCCATTTTCACTATGTTTGGCAGTCATAGCAAGAAAAAAAGTTCTCTTAAGTAAAGTTAAATGGCAGCTGTATCATCTGGATTTAATTTTAACATTATAATTCTTATATTTTTTAGTTATTACTTATGTATGTTTATTTGTAAAGCCCTTTTTCTCGAATTTTTCGTTTTTTGAATTATACGCCATTGCAGCAAACGAGCAATATGTACATACATACATACATACAAACTTAATATATAACATAAATGCCATTTAAAAATCATGTATGGTTTGCCGTTCTTTTTTGCCACTTTATGCACATGAAGACATATTTATACATACATATGTACATGAAAAAATAACGTTTCAACAACTAATGAACGTGAAACCACAGTGAAAAATACACGAAAATTTAGTATACATTTAATACTCCAAATCGATTTAAATTAAAAGTATATAAACTTCAAAATCGGTAGTCTGTTAGCACTTCAATTACAACCACTAAGGGCCGTTTTCACCATCTCTGGTTAACACTAATCCCCAGTTAAACATCGTTACCTCCATTGTTAGTGACCTCCATGCACATAACATTGTGTCGAAAACGTCGGTAATGATGTTAAACTGGAGATTAGTGTTAACCAGAGATAAAGAAAACGGCCCTAAATAGCAACCCTAAAATAATACTGAGGCACAATTTTAAGTTTTTTCGGGCCACAGGCAAATAATGGCCAAACGTTAGTATGGGCGGGAGATTCTAAGGTTAGGTAAGGGTGTTAAAAGGTTGCTGACCAACTCTTCAAAGTTTTCGGCTTTGTGGTTTCCATGAAAATTACAAACGATTCCGTTTTAATGTCAATAATAATTTAACATAAATTTATTAGAATCACACTTTGGTAAGCAAAATACGCGTAACCACTTCAATCAAAGAAAAACTGAGGGTAATTGAATAAAACTAAGTAAGGGGTTTATATGTGGTTAGGTAATATTATCTAAAAAAAAAAAATAACTTAGTTTTGTGTAACGAAACCACTGTTCATCAGTGTAATAAGGCCGCTGTTGCTGAGGGGATAGGGGTACCGACTACCACTCCATAGGACCTGGGTTCGAGCCCTGATCCGAGCAACATCTAAATTAGAAAACGTTTTTTCTAACATCGGTCGCCAGGCAGGCATTTGCTGTTCGGAGGCGGCATAAAACTTTAGGTCCCTCCATTTGTGTAACAACATCAAGATGTTCGAGGAAAAGTTCGGCTAAACACTTAGCAAAAGTTTAAACGCCAAAATATTGTTATTATCGATAATACCTTCATCTCATCTCAGAATGTTGTTATCATAGTTTTTGAACCCTCAAGAGATTGAGCTGAGCCTGTTTACCACAGACATTTGACAAAAATAAAAATGCCTTCAAGAATTCACGCAAAATTTAATATATAAAGATACACCAATATCGGGATTCGAAGGTTATTATGCTGAAAGCGGCTATGTAGTTACATGTGTATTTTCCAAAGAACTAAATTATATTCAAGAATTTGAGTTCGTAAAATTGAATATTCAAATAGTTATAGTAGTTGATAAATGATAATCCGTAAATTAAACCGACTTTGTATTTGTTTAGAAATAGTGTATCAGGGAACAAATATCAAAACAAAAAAAAGAAGAAAAAAATTCATCAGCAATGGATTTGCATATTTTGCGTTAAAAAAATGTAGGAGCATCTAAAATACAAAATGAAATATTGTATAGACACACGCTAAAGTAAAAAGTTTATGACCGAGATTTTCAATCAGTTAATTATGAACAGCTCATCACATTTATAAAAGAAAACAGTTCGTGCAGGCTTAACAATTTTAAAAACACTTAGAAAATCGTATTTTAATATACATACATAGCTTACTATAGTTGAAAAGATAATCGTATCCAAATATTAAGATGCATTTAGAAAAATAGTAAATTATGAATGAAATTCAATTTTAGTGATTTTTACCTGCAGATACTCATAATCGTGTACTTTTGGCTGCATTGTTGGAATGGTTTTTAAATTAAATAAAAAATATACAATATGCATGAAAACGAATTGCTTTGTACATCTGTGCAATTATGAAATGTGTTTTGGACACTGAGGTGTTTGTTATTGTTGCAACCATTCTATGTGCTCCAATTTTATTATTTTTTATTTAATACTGTCATATTTTTCCAAAAAAAAACAATCAATCAATTTGCAGTGTTGCATTTGAACTTGAGCACATAGAAATGCCGCCACTACTTTTGATCTCTATTCAAGCACACGCTGCAATGCAATTGCGTATTTCCGAAGCTAATAAGCAACCGGCTTGTACGCAAAATGAAGTTTGGTACAAACCTGCTTTTCCATATGGCTGGTGGTGGAATTTTTACGCGAATGCGGTTGATTAGGTGCCAACGTATGTGAATCTGTGTTGTCTTTAGGCGCCGCCGTGCTAGTAGCTGGCACATCGGCTATCGCAGGTGTTGGCTTGAATTTGCGTTGCATTTTCTCACAGTCGCGCAGCGTATTTATAAGCAGTCGGAACAATTCCCAGTGACCGAAATTGAGTCCTAAAACCTAATAAAATAGTTGTAAGAGAAATTAACAAAAAAATAATAAAAATAAAAATTAAGGATGTTCTGAATTTTCTGCTTACTGCTTTTAGGTCGCTTATATCGCAGTATTTCAGTACTCGCCCGCTGATTGCGTTCTCTTTGAGGATCGGCGATAATTTGGGTAAAGCGGGACGCAGATCGTCGACTCGTTCTATTAAACTTATGACGCCTTCGACAGTTAGGTCGGAAAGTTTTGTTTGTAGAACGTCATCCTGGATTTATTTTTTTTTTTAAGATTAATAGTTAATAAATTGTTTTTCAACACATATTTAATTATGTGTGGCAACACTCACTGCAAAAGATTCACTCGGAGAACCGATCAACGGTGTCAAAGCCGCTTCGGAGATCGTGCTGGCGTTTCGCTGTCTCAGCTCGTAATCGTTGTGGAACAACTGATACGGTGGATAAGCAGCTGGTGAAGGCACATACGTAGGCGTTGGTGGAGGTATGCGTACGGCTGGGTTAACGCTCGGCTTGTTTTGTAGCATAAGTGTGCCTTCGTCCTCGATCGATTGCTGATCCTCTGCGAATCAAAAGAAGACAAGTTCAATACAATATATGGATTTGTTTAAGAAAAAAATATTGCGCGCACCTTTTAATACTTTTCTCAAGTATGGGTCTAAATTAATTGTAAATGGCAGGAATATTCTCAAATCTGCCACGAGCAAATCCGATTTATGCAACTGCAAAAAGGCGTCCAGCTTGCGCTCGTCCCGATCGAGTTCGAGCAGCGGTGCAGCTTCGCGTAGACAAGCAATCTTTGGGCGCACTCTATCGGCAAGAGTAAATGTACATTAAAAAAAAAAAGCAATTAAACAAATAAACAAATTGGGCGCACTTTTCATAGACAGCTTGTAGTGGCAAATTGTCGTCATATGAGTCCATAAAGTTGTCGTGCTGCAACACAATCATGCTGGCACGCAGCGGCCACTGTTCTGTCAAGTTTATCCACGAACTTAAGCGATACCAACTAAAGTCTATCTGGAATGCTTTCAGCAGGCGCACTAAAACAGTAAAAAACCGCAATGAGCTATTAGTTAGTATCAAACAAACCATTACAGCGATTTTCGAAATTCACCCGTTATGTAAATGACATTCATGAGTCGCCGCATGCTGCGTGGGTTCACGTCACTGAAGTAGTCGTCGGTTAGCATCATGCGCGACAGATCAAGCACCCCCTGCGGGTTCTGTCCCAGCCGATGCAGGTTCGAGCCGATCGAGCTGGCCACCGATTCGGACAAACGTAATTTCTTTCCACCACTGCGCCCCGGATTATGGGACGTACGTAATTTTTCTTGGCTAGACATAATTTCTGATGCGTTCGATAAGCGACGAGCCGACACTGAATGTCCCAGTGTCGGGCCATCTTCGTTGGGAAATTCGCTGTAATTACGCTTGAAGAGCATTGCGGTCATTTGGGCGCGTTGCACTTTCCTTAAGCCCGAGTTTTGCAAATACACTGGCAAGTGAATGAGGTTACGCAGAAAATCGTGTCCGCCGATGCCGCCTTCGGTGAAGAGACGTCTACTGTTAGCCTCGGCTGCTTTAGCGATCACATGCGGGTCGACGGCGATGAGTACAACAAAGGGGCGATTTGGGGAGGAGAGCAGGGTTTGAATGGCATTAAGCACCGAGAGAATGCGCTCTGTATCGCAGGAGTCTAAGGCGTCCACCACGCCTACAAGCCGGCTTTGTTGGTTCGTGAACGCGTCGAGGCACTGCGTGAGGGAGAAGGAAAATATTATTAAAGTATGTTGGTATATTTAATTAGATGTCAACTGCCTAAAAATATACAGTAATATTGGCTATGTGAGGTAGTAACATACTCACACACTCACTCACAAGCTCTCACATTCAAAATATTAAGTAGGATGTAAGATTTGCAAAGATATTTTACCTTAACCATGTCGGTCATCAGAGCCACTTCCGTTCCCAGTGCTGTCAGTGGCGCACCCTCATTATGCCGCACCGACTTCCTCAAATGCCGACCCTGCGAAATGAACAGCGACCCAAACGCCTTGGCCAGTATGTGCAAGTTCGTGCAGACAATGGACACCAACACCGCGCAAATGACGTAAATCGAGACGAGCATCCGTTCTTGTTCCTTATCTGAGGCGTACGTAAAGTATGCCACTACCAGCGCTATGCCCGTTATAAGCGTTAACAAACCCAGTTCGAAGATAATCACAATTGGCATACAGCACATGCGCCGCCAACGCCAACCAGATGTCGCCTTCACCGCTTTGGGCCGAAAGGCCCGATACAAGCGTGTCGATAGCCAGCCATAGTGCGACTCGATGGCCTCGAAAAGTGCGGCCAACATATGCGTAACGGCGCCCTCTCCTGTCGGCGATGCGCTGCTCGCCTCCGCAAAGTGAAAACGTACCGGCTTCGCTTGGGCGTCTGCTTGCGCACCTGGTGGGTGACAAAACGCCACCTGTAGGATGAGACGCAGGCGTCCTATGCGCTTCTTAATACCATGTTGCACCGAATAGGCCCAATAGACGTCCATGTGGTTGTTAGCGTACTTAATACTGGCGAGCAGGAGGTAGGTTAAAACTAGGTATAGCACCGCTGCTATTGCGCCCCACATGGCAGACCAGGACGACAAGCCGACAATGGTGGCAAGCACCAGCGCTATGTGCAGGTTTACAAGAAACATTAGACCGCTAGTCTTGAAGGGCGGCTCCGCCCACTGGCGTGCGAAGTTGTTCATCTCATCGCGCAGCTTGTTTAGCAGGAAACTCTTACCGCTGCCCCACTTGGCGTACAGACCCACTGTGATGGGCGTGGTCAGTGTTGGTTCGCTCAGTACATCGGCCAAAGCAGATGAGTACAGCTCGTAGCCGAGCATGCCTTCAGAGTCTTCATTTGTGTTCAAGCGCCGCGCCCCAAACACCTGTCCGAGTATGGTCTTCTGGTGTATGGTATCGATGTTGTATGGGGTCTCGCCGGCCTTATTTGCTCTATACAACAGCTGACTGTTCTTCGGGTTGCGCAGCAATGCCTCAACGATCGCCTTGGACCGAGCGCGCATGGCAATGTGTAGACAGGTGTCGCCGCGTTTGTCGCTCGCCGTCACCTTCGCTTTGCGATCGAGCAGCATTTGTACGATTTCCAAATTGCGGTTGCGTACTGCGCGCAGCAAAGCAGTGTCGCCGTCTTTGGTCGCCGCCTCGAGATCGGGATTGGTGGAGAGGAGTATTTTGACGATGTGCACATGGCCCTTCTCCACCGCCGTGTAGATAGCCGTTTTGCGGTCTTTGCCTTGAATATCGACGTCAGCGTGTTTTTTTAGTAATGCCTCAACAACACCTCGATGGCCACCCTTCACGGCGTGTATGAGGGGCGTGTCGCCAGCGCGATCTTGAATGTTGATATAGGCGCCAGCAGCGATTAGAGAAGCGCATATTTCCTGTCAAAGAGAAAGCGTCAATTTCAATGCATGGACAGTGTTATGTGCCACAGAATCAATGGAAAGTTTAAAAAATTCATTATAAATCCCCGCATGCATTTCCCAAGCACCCACCTGGAAGCCCTCGCGACTCGCAATGGCCAACGCCGTCATGCCATCTTTGTCCAATGCATTCACATTTGGTCGCTTCTCCAGCAGCGACGTCACGCAGTCAGTATGTCCGCCTGAAGTGGCCACCAGCAGCGGCGTCCACGAATACATGCCCGCCGTGTCGACATTAGCCCCGGCTTTCAGCAGCGTATCGACAATCTCAGCATTACCTTTGCGGCATGCCCACACAAGCGCAGTCGTGCCATACTTGTCGCCCACATTCACTTTAGCACCGCGCTGCACCAAGAGCTCAACGATCTCCTTAAACCCACGACCAGCTGCCCACAGAAGGGGACCCAGATGGTAATTGCCATGTACATTCACATCTGCGCCTTTCTCTAGCAGAAAGCGCACCAGATCGGTGTGACCACGATATGCAGCCCACATTAGTGCCGTCCAACCGCCCTGGCGGGGAGTGAGGAAGAGGTAAGAGAAGAGAACGAAACATGTCAACAGCTCTACGTCTGGATAATTAAATGAATATTTACCATATCACGATGCTCAATGTCAGCACCATGATCGATAAGCAGCTGTACGATATCGAAGTGGCCATTCTTGGCCGCGCACAGCAGTGCGGTCCAGTTGTCATTGTCCTCAGCTTGGACATCTGCGCCGCGAGCCAAGAATTCGCGCACAAAAACAGTTAAGCCACGTCCAGCAACAACCATAAGTCCAGTGGTGCCATTCTACAAACAAAAAAAAAAAATAAAAAATGGGTTAGGGGGATTGACCTCGACGACCCTTGACCCACTCAAACTCACCTCATCACGATCATCGACGGATAAATGCCGACTATCTAAGATAGCGCGCAAACCAGATAGGTCATTAGTATCCACATATTGTAGGAGCGCTCGATGTGCTAGTGAACCCATAGAATCTCCGTAGCGATTGAGATGCTACATGTGGAAGAAGAAGAGAAATGTATTGAAAATTATCTAGCAGCAAAGCATACATCCGTTACGCATACAATGTTCAACAAATACATATTTTTAAGGAAGTTGTCATGCCAGAAAGGTAATAAAAAAATCAGTATGTGCTGAAATTGAGGAAAAAATCTACTGATGTTATCTTTGCGAATATACATAAATATTTAGTTCGAAATACAAAACAGTAATTTTTCGAACAAAAAAAGTACAATGGGCCTTATGAATAAAACGGAAGCCATTAATTTTTCTTAAAATTTCAGACACCTTTTACTCGACTTATTTAAACAAG